ATATAATTATACAGTATATGCGAATCTTACCTCATCATTTGCATCTAAATATTCTAAAAAATTAAATTTTGTTATTTGATGCTTATCTCGTAAATGACAGGATAGATTTGAAGTTGATCCACCTTTTCGACTATAGGGATAGGGTTTTTTACTAGTACGTTCACAAATTATACAATAAGCTATTTCATTATTATTTGGGTCTTTGCGAAAAAAATAGGAAGTATGACTTCGGTTACTTCTTTCTAACGGCCTATCATTATCCGAAGGTATAATACCCAAATTATTTTTACGTTTTTTACGTTCATTAATAGTGCTTATGGATGAACGTGTAAGTGTAGATTCTGTGTCAGACATTGTAACTCGAGAAAGAAGTCAAAAGAACAACCATTTTTCAAACGTCTACATTTAAATTTAAGGTTTATATGGAATAAAAAGTCGTGAAAATTTTCCTTATTTTATTTGAATTTAAATTTATTACGAAAAAGGTTGACAGTTTTTTTTTGAAAAAATTAATTTGTTAAGATTTACATGCAAATTTCGTGGAATTTTATGATTGGAACAGCATTTAAAGTTAATTTAAATTAACCGGATTGATCGAAGGAACCGGATTTATTATATCCGGATGAAACGAAGGAACCGGATTTATTATATCCGGATGAAACGAAGGAATCCGGATTTATTGTATCTAATCCGGATTTAAAATATAAATCCGGTTCTAACCTCTAATCCTGATCAACATGTTAAAATCCTAGATAATTTTATTCATCGCGGGGGCGATCTCCTTATACATCGCCTTTATATATATACCTTACCCTAACCCTAACCATAACCCAATCTTATACCATGTGATACTAACTGACCTGACAAATAGGAGTTCACACATGAAAAAAATAATCCCCAGAATATATATGAAAAATGAAAAGAGAGGAGGTGTGACACGAATTACAATAAGGCGGCGATGATATCGCACCTGCGATGGATAAATTTACTCTTTTTATATTTAGGCGAATTATACTTTAAAAAACCTACTGGAAAGAAAATCTTGACAAACTTATTAATATATTTTAGAACATGATTTGCTTTATTTAATAAATAAGCAACATTTGAATGAAAAAATCTATATTTCAAGATATGGAAATTATTTTGTTTTTTTTATTATTTTAACTTTGAAAAATATAGATGAAAGTACAACATTAATACTGTAACAATAAAAAGATCCCTTTTGTCAACCACTACAAATACCATATGACACAGCTGATAATAATTTAATTAATTTGTGGGTGTTCTATTCCGCATAATTGAGCACGATTATAATAATAATTAACAGATTTTCAAGTTGAATAATTTTTTTATTGAAATTATAAATTTATAGGATTCATATTAAAATTTTTATTTTTTTTTTAAAAAAAATTACATCAAGAACTTGGAGAATCGCGTTCCCAATTTCCAATTTGTTCAAATTTTAATTAGGGCAAATAGTCAATTTGGGGCAGATCCTCAACTCCTAAACAAGTTGCATATGTCTATTTTTTTTTATTTTTTTTTTTGACTAAAATACTAACTGATGGATCTTCAATTGTTTAAAAAAAACCAAATATTGCTACTTCAAAAATGGTTATATGTAAGACCAAAATTATTAAAGATGGCTAATGAAAATTAATATATAAGTATCTCTATAGGATGTGCTATCACGTGAAAAATTGATTTTAATAACACGCCGAAATTTCTATCACTTTTTGCAAAGAGGAATTTTTAAGTTAAATAAGGAGAACTTACTATTCATTTTACAAAAAGAAAAAGGAATGAATGAAAAGGGGCTTCTTTTTTCCTAAATGGTATCAGTTTCAATTATAAAAACTTTTTTTTTAATTATAAATTCATAAGTTTTGCGCAGCTATATATGTTTATTGGTTAAAAAAATGTAAGGTATACAGGAAGGTTTATAATTTTTAATTGAATTCATTAATAATAACGAAAAACTAATCTAAAAAACGTAAATAAGGTATTGTCTCAATCGTCAACATTCAATAAAATCAGTCACATTTTTTTTATTTAAGGTTTCAATGAATGCGAAGGATTAACCTTCTTCTCTTGTTTAGGCGAAAACCCACCAATTTTATAACCAAGGACTTACTTGTCCGAAGGAATTTGGTCACGCGGAAGACCTTGGCCAAATTGATCTACAAAGCCTAACTAAATTAATAAAAATAATTTTTAATTATCGAAGCTATACCCAAAAGATACTGACATTTGATTGTTTATAGAAATGAGTGAAAGATACATTTCTCACAAAGACATGGGGGTGAAGTTAATAAAGAGGGGGATTTTCATAAAAAGGAAATTGTCCACGGCTTAAACTTCTAAAATAGAAAACAATACGAAGCAATGAATATTACTAATCAAGTATAAACCTTGTTGTTCGGCTTTGAATTTCCATCTATAAATCTTTTAAGGATACCGTCTGATGTTTCAGACAATGAATAAAGGACAATGTGTATCACTCACTTTATCAAATCGAAATTCAGCAAATCAAAAATTTTCCGACAAAACCGTGATCGGTCCGAGTGAAGTATATCTATCTATTCACCAAAGATTTGCTATAATTTTCCGAAGAAAAAGATTATTCTAATGACACTGCTATATCATCCTTTTGGATCTAGTACGAGACGAGAAATCGAATTCTGAGATATGTTGCGAGAATTCCACTCCTCCTTTCAGTTTTTTTTTCTCCTCAACGCAAGATTTAAAATCGCGTTGCGCTGCGGATACTGCGACTCCCCGCGCCTAAATTTTATTTGGTTAGCTGCCATGTTATATGAAACTCGGGTGGTTAAAAAAAACCGGTTCTTCTAAAACGAATGATTTTTATAAAATTCAGCCCGTTATAAAACCTTTTTCATCATAGTATTTGATTTATGCCCCAACAAAATTCAATGTAGATTTACGAATCTTAACTAATTTTGTTTATTACTAATAGGGCTGAGCAAAATGACCCAAAGATGCCTAGATCTTCATTATCATCCGAGTAGATCGGAATTACGGTCATCGTCTAAAAGGTATCAACATCGACCGGCACCATCCAAAAAAGGTTAAATATTTAAACAAAATGTTTGAACCTGGTAAAATGATAATTATTTTCCTTTTTTAGATGTAAATCTATTGGGGGAAAAGCAAGTTTATAAAAAAAAATATATATATTTTTTTTTTTATTTTATCTGTTATTATTCTATACATGGTTTTATCATTCAAAAAAATAAAAAAATAGTCAAACAATATTAATGCAGAAAAAGAAAAATTACCCACGACATGCATCTAAATGCAGATCCACCTGTAAATCCAGATCAGGTCATCATCGTTCAGCTGGCGTCGTTTGACAGGAATTAAAAAAATTTTTTATCACGCACGAAAGAAAACATTTTCTCTCTCTCCTTTCACTTTGTAATTTCAAGATAAATTCAATTTTTATCTTTGTAATTAGGATATATTTTATTGCTTATTAGATGAGTAGCTTTTTCGATCCGATGAAAAAAGAGATTTTTACATTTTTAAAATTTAAAACACAGGAAGTATTCGTGTATACGTGTTAAAATCATAGGGTGAATTTAAATCTTGGAATAAGTTATTGCGTTTTTTTTTTAAGCAAAAAGAATTGAGATCATGTAACATAAATGTTGAGGAAAGCAAAAAAAATAAAAAAAAAGGATGAAATATTGAACTAATATCACAACAAAAAAAAACCAATATACTGCTTGCTTGGCACAATTAAAATAAAACGATAAGAAATGGTTTCAACGCCAGGTTGATAAAGATTTTTAACGATAATTGTCATAATAGAAAATAAATGTATCCATGATTTGAAGCACGATCATATGTTTTCGAATTGGCAATAAAATTGGCTGAACGATAAACATTAACTAAAAAAAAAAAAAAATAATATATTATAACAATGATGATTATTGTTTCGTAATTTTGTAGAGAAATAACGAAAAAACGTCCCAATAACCTACCAAATTTTTTACTAGATCATTATACCGAGCTCAATTCATGTCAGCATTACATTATTTTCATTGATACTTCTGTCCGATGACAAAAGGATAGCTCGTTTAGCTATGAGCCTGAACCTGAGAGGAAACTTGGGGTTTATATAATCGTCAGGATTGGCAGCAATTTTTTGTTTTTACGAAAAGTTCTTTCATGCCACTAAATGAACAAATAATAAGCCTCCTGCCAATTTTAGATATAACACATTCATACTTGTACCACTAAATATTTTATTTAATTTTTTATAGAAATGAGTAAAAAGAACTGCACAAGACGGATTTGTGTAAAGTAAATCGCTGAACAAGAAAATCTATCAATAAAAAGCTTTCGGGAATAACGTTAACAATATCCATTTTTATATATATGAAAAAAGGGGGACTCTCTCAAAGTAACACATCATCAAATCATTTTCACGCATTAACAAATCAAAAATTCTCCGACAAAATCATTGATCGGTTCGCACAAAAATATCTTTCGCAAAACAAACCAAAATCGGCTGTACTAAACTTATTATGTAGAAATTTTCCGACATAAAATGCGCAGAATGTGCCACAAAAATTACTGGTTAATTAAGCCAAAAAAGTTTTAGCTTACAAAGTAAGAATGGGGTTGTGTCACCTTTATAAGCAAGTCAATGAAATTCCGAAATTCCGTGCATGTCGAATAAACGAAATGCCAATAAAGATAACGAATGTAATAAATTCTTGCATTGCATGTATAAATGATTTCGTTGATCCATGTATTTTTTTTTTTGAAAAAATAAAGATTTTTTTTTCGTCCAAATCAATTTGTTCCATGCGTAGTACGAAAGTAAATAGATTTGTTTTTAAAGAAAACAAAGGTAGTGCTCCGAGCTGATCGAGTTGACCGGGTTGTTTGATCCACTCGAATTTTTTCTCGAGTGGGACTATCATTTTTATGACACCAAAAAAACCCGGGTCACGTTTCTGCTTAACCCGAGTCGACCCGGGTCGACCCGGTGACCCGGATGATGATTTAAATACTGTAGATTTTACGGTACGTTAATATATAATGAGTAAACCTATCGACTTTACCAATAGTGCAACTTCTAGAAAACGAAAAGCATAGCGAGGAGAACATTTACAGGTAAAAAAAATAAAATATCGATTATTAACTAATACATATTTTATAAGCAACAAGTGTTCCAGTAAAACGAGATTTTTTTTGGTGGATCCGATCTAATATCAACCAAAAATAAAATAAACTTTGACTTTTTTTATTTTGCCCAAAGCCACTGTCAAAGCCAAAGCTGTTGTTATTTGCAACTTTTATTTGATTTAAATTTTATTACTATCACCACACCACCAAACATTCTGTTTAATTTTTTTTTATATTTATTATGTACTGCTGAATTAATTTTTTTTCATTAATATTACCCTTGAAAATTCGAATCGAATACGGGTTAAACAATAATTGGGTCGAGTCGAATCCAAGTCGAAAATGATAGGGTCGAGTCGAATTCGGGTTCTATAATTATTAACGGGTTCGAGTTTGAATTTGACTTAAACCCGACCCGACCTGACCCTTGCTGAGCATAGATAAGATAGTATTTTACCAGAAAATATCGACCGCCTTCAAGAAGATAAATCATCAATAGTTTTACATTTTATATATAACAAGCACAGCAAATCCTATGATTCACTTCAGTAGGTTTTCTTCTTTCCTTATATTCGATACATTACTCAAATTTGTATTTAGGTTTTAATTTCACAGCATTTCATTTAATGACTTGATGTGTCATTCTTCTAGTCAGTTTGATGAAAGAAACTTTTATGTACTGTACCTTCCTAGTTTGATTCTCTTGCTAAATTAATGGTCATAGTATAAAATTATTGATGAGTTTGAAATGAAATGATAAAAAAATAATATATACAATTTGTTGCAATTTTCGATATGATAAAATTTTAAAGTACTTTATATTTAAAAGTAATAAATCAATAGAAATGGAAGAAAAATAAAGCTCTTTAATTAACAAAATGTTTAACCTTCTTCATCCATTTAAAAATTTCTTGTGAATTTAATACTGCAAAGATCTGGAAAATAAAATTTTTTTTTTTTAGCTACTAACTTTTTATGAACTTTATTTTAAAAAATAGTTTAAGCTTATCTATATGTATCAAGTTGTTCACATTTACGATAAAAATTCTTTTATTCATCATGTCAAGCGAAAAGAAGGTAATTTCTATAAATTTTTCTTTTTTTTTAAAACGATTAAATAATTTAGTTAAATTTAGAATTCACCTATAAAAGTCTTACTATATGTTTTATTCAAAACTTTATATTCCTTATCTATAAGGGAAGGTAAAGAAAATTTTTTATACAATCACTTCCTTTTGCGCAGCATTAAATGATTTGCATTCATTAGGATTTCACATTTATATTATTATTAATATATAAAATATTGATAGATAATATGATGCTGAAAAATAAAATTGTTCACTATGAAGAACTTAGGATTCAAATCGACATTATTAGATTGCTATTTTAATCCATATTGTTTTTTTCATTTGATGATCAGCTCAGATTTATTTTGATTGTTTTTCATTATCATTACCCGTTCTTCATCGATTACTAACACTTGCTTATCAATTGGAGTTGCTGCTCTTGGTTCCGTAACAGGGGTTACATCTCTTGATTCTATAATTGGGATTGTCACTCTTGATTCTATAATGGAGTTGTCATTCTAGAATGACTTGGAGAACTAGAATTATATGTACTTATCTGTCTTGAAGAAGAATCGTGAGTATTTGACGGAGTCTTCGAAGTTGGTGACGATGTAGTATCGCTCTAGATAATATCTAGTAAATTATAGTGAATCACGATGATTAATTTGTCAATAATTATCGAGTTATAGTTATAATAAAAGACAAGGTTTACTAGCTTCAGTTGTTAATAAAAAATAACTTAAATTTGAATTATTACTTTCAAGTGACATAGAACGTCCTTGGGCGATTACTTCATGTTCTTTTTGGTTGTCAACCTGCGTCTCATATTGGTTACTAGTTAACGTTTTAATTTTTTATTTTATTCTCTATTTTTATTTGAAACTTCGTTAACTTCTTGTTCTCGTCCTTCACTATTTTGTCCGCAAACTCCAGTTCTTTTGTTGATATTTTTAGTAATTATATCTAAAATTATATTTTCTTCATTTAATCATTTTGTATTAAGAATAAAAATGTAAGAAGAAAACGTGAAGAAAAAAAAGTTTTTGCGTGAGAACTGAGAAGTGTCCTTATTTATATACTTTTCGTGAAAAGTCTAATTTCGTATTTTCACGTTTTTATAGATTCATAATAAACTTGCATTTCTAAAAGTATAATTTAAATATCAGTAAAGATATTTTAACAATCATTTCAATTTATTAATTAACAACATATCGATTGTACAACGTCTCCTTAAAATAACTTTAATAATCTATTTTAATTGATTAATTAACAATACATAAATTCATCATATTCATAATACTGAAAATTAATAATAAACAATAAAAATCATCAAAGTATTATTAGAAAATATCATATTATTTCGTTAAATTTAGAAATGTCTTCAAGTTATTTGTGTTTGTATTGTTCACATACCTTCTTGACCCATACGCAACAAGTCAAACGAGAATACTCAAAGAACCGGACTTTGGGGCGATGAATTATTCTGAGATAATAATAATATAATATCAATTATTTTATAGTAGTGAAAAAAATAATTAAAATGATTAATATGAGTTAAAGTTAATTTTAAATAACAAACAGGATGAGGAAACAGAATCAAATATCATTAAAAAAAGGAATTTGATCAGTACCATTAGAGGAAGAAAATGAATCAATAATGTTAATAGAATCTTCCGAAACATTACATTCTTCAGAAGATACCAAAAAACGACGAGAAAAATAAAAATATTGATAATGAAACAAGTGAAACAGATGAGGAAATGGATGTTAATTTTACAATTCCGCTATCTATCGACAATGAAGATTATTTTGTAGAACCACGTTGGACGATGCTATAAAAGATAAACATCACATCATCCAAATGATATTTATCGGGAATTTATAGGAATTGTTACGAAATATCAACTGTCAAATTCATGTGATGATAGATTTATCAAATTATTTAATTCAATAAAAATGTTGATAAAAATCTATTATTAAAGACCACTAAAGAGGGACGAAAATTCATTGTTAATAGTAATTTTCCTTATATGAAATTCAAGAAAGTTCCTATCACGAATTTTCAAGATGTTGAATACGATTTTAATTATCAACCGATAATTCATGGAATTAAAGTTCTACTTCTTCGATCTGCTATAATATTGTATTTTCGATCCTTTCTTACTTTTTGAGTGGAACAAAAAGTGTTGCTAAAATTAAAAGAAGCAATTTATTGATTTTTGTTGTGAATTTCATTTTGTAATTATTAAATTTTAAACAAAAAATCGAATAGATAAGCATTTATTTAGGTAAATAATAAATATTGTTATGAATAAAATAATAATTATATTTTTATATTAAAACAAAAAAAAAATAATTATAAGTTCTTTATTCATTTCTATTCATTTCAGAATGAAGTAAATTATTAATTTAGGTAGGTACTAGATTCGTAATAATTTCATATTTAGGTTATTCTTATAAAAAGATAAAAAATTCTGGAAAAAAAAAATAAATAAATATTTATAGTACATTCCCCGAAATTGTGCTTCATTAATTTTTATATCAGAATGCATTTCATTGAAGTGGTTTACTATACATACTAATCACATATTTAAATTTTATTTATTTTATTACTTATGGCTAAGCAGTGGTTGTAGCTTCTTTTATACTTAACATATTTTATTCAAAATAAAATTCGCAAAGCATTATCCCGAATAGTAAAGCGAATTAATAATTATTTCAATAAATAAAAATACAACTTTTATAAAAACTTTATAAATTTATTATTAATAATAAAAAAAAAGTCCGTGATAATGCTGCGCCACATAAATTTTTATAAATTTTAAAATGTCATATTAGAATAATCTTAATATTATCGTATTTGGATAAGCCAAAACCTGAGATTTAAACGGTCGTTAACATCCCTTATTTCAGGTTTCATTTTAGATTCATTTTAATAGGATTAATTATTTATTAAATTTAAAATAATGAAATAATTCCCAAAATTTCCAATAATTTTTATAAATAATTTTCATATTGATAACATTTCATGGGATATCAATTTCCATATGCATTCTCACATAGGCACGCAAAAGTTCCTTGTTCATATTTAGCACAATCCTGAGAGCCGCAACCATCTGGAAATGAAGAACATCGGATAGTCGTTAAATCTACACAATCATTTGAATTTATACTCCAACCGTTTACATTATTTTGACAGTAATCATAATTCCAGTGTTCAACAAATTGCCTAACTTTATCCATGATATCGGGTTTATAATTAACACCCCGAATACACAATTGTTGTTATGTATTAACTGACCACAGTCATATTTACCAATAACTATGCAAGCACCTCCAGCTGGAGTAACAACTGCTTGTGCCGAGCAACATTTACCACAGAGACTTTGATCTATGTGGGTACAATAGGTAAAGCCATAATGATTGAGGATGGTGCTTGCCACTGCTGCATTAAGAGTCTGTTGTGCAAAGTTCCTAACATCTACACTACCAAAATTTAACTAATTCGATGGGCATATAAAAAGGTGCTGCAAGCCAATAAGATGAAGGTGTGAATACAACAATATCTCCATTAAGCATATCGGGTAATTTTGCAAAAATAGTATTCAAATATGAATCTATATCTGTACCAAAAGTGTTAAAAGTATTTTTTTAATGTACCAGTGGCATCAAAAGGCACTTTGTAGTAAAATTCTGTTGTCGACACAGTTCGTTGAAATGGGTCTCCATTTTTATCAATAAAAGTATGTTTAAGAAATATATATATTTTTTTAAAAAATATGCCATATACTTGATAACAGTATACACATACCAGAAACTGAGTCAACAAAGATTGTTCCTACTTGGAGGAAATTCAAATTAAAATGATCAGTGAATAACTGTAGTTTACCAGTCATATCATAATAAATTGAGTCATCCGGTGCATGATTGATTATAGAATGGAGCAAAATCAGTTAGGTGATCATTAATATTTTCAGAAATCTTACTAAAAGAATATTTAATTCCTAGGTAGTGGTTCTGATAAAAGGTAAAAGCATTATCTACTGTTGCAACTATGGATAAAGCAGCAGGTTTTTGTCCAGTAAATGGCCATCTAGCCCCATCTGTTCCAAATTCAAACATTTTAGAATCATGCATTAGATTGGAATAAACATAGAGACAATTCAAACAATTTTTATCATCTTTGCTAATTATTTCGGTGTTGTTAGATAGGTTAAAAGAAAAAGGATAATCTGGATTAGGAGTATCTACAATACTCAAAACTTTGGCATTCAGATCAGTTCTCCACGTGGTTGGGTTGTCCGCACCAGTGTTGGCATATGACATAGTCATGAAATTTTTTATGACTTCATAGTCATATGTCATATGACTAAATGTCATAAGTCATAAAGTCATATAGATTAACTAATGCCGGCCGGAATTATAAATAATAAATTGCCTTATTTGGTATATGCGTAACGTTACACTAAGGTAAAGAAATATTGTGTAACATTTTTAAAATACCAAACTTATCATTTTAAGAATTTGTGTAACTAGATTTCCATTTATGGAAATAATTTTTATTAATAATTCCGGCCAAAATATGATGCCGGCCTAAATTAAGAAATATATGACAAAGTCATAAGTCATAGACCTTTAACTGATAAATGACTTATGACAAGTCATGTAAGTCATTTAAGTCATATGATGTCATATGCCAACACTGGTCCGCACAGATATAAGGAAGCTGTTTACTAGCAACTGGAGTAACTTTCCTTGTAGAATTATCTACTTTTAGGTCAAATGACAAACCACAATTTGATTGACATCCGTACATAGTGACATTGAGCACAAACCCATCTGAGGTTTGATTATAGGATACTATTTTATTGACCTTTGTAGAATTGGTATAAAAATGTGCGTCGTGCTCGTTGATGTGGATTACATCATCAGTAAAGGTGGTGTCGCATATTTCATAGGATAAACCTACGGTAATCCAAGCATGAACCGATGAAATAATGGTTAAAATCAGAAACGTCAATGTTATGAATGTTTACCCTGCATTTTTTAACAAATGGATTTGAATTATAAAAAAAAATTCTGCTAAATAATAAACTTTTATATATTTGTTTCGAGATCGGCACAAAACATACTTATTTGAATGATCTTCTCTTATATTCCTTTATAATAGGGTAGGTAGGATCTCTCTTGACTCCAATACCGCCATCCAAATAGGCCCGTATTAATTTTCGGTTTTTTTTTTTCTTTTATTTTATTTATTAAAATTAGTATATCCTAACATTTTAATTTACATTACGAAAATTCTAATTCAGAGTAAATGTAAGATTTCGTAATAATTTAAGTGAGTAACTAATTATAAATTTAAATTTAAATCAAAAAAAGACCAAAACAGACTATTATTAGAATTAGCCTCATTTTTTTTATAGTTTTTACTTTAAACGAAAATTTACGATTATGCGAGTCAAAATGTAAGTTTATGCTAAGCACTATCACATGACTTTATAAGACTAAAAATGTGAAAGACTTACCAAAGACTGGTAGACCTAGAACTGTGAAAAAACGTGGAAAGAGATAGATTGTTAGATATTGTATATTAGAGTGAAGAGTGAACAAATGCTACCATAAGGTTTTCGTTTGAAATACAATTTGCATTTCAAATATTTGAAACGAATATCGAAATGATACCCAATCGTATCGTATCTACTCAATCATTTCGGATATTCGACATTGAATAATATTTTTTTTTCGCTTTTTTCGATATTTTTAAAGTTTTCGATTTGGTAAGCTTAGTTTTTTTTTATTATTTTAATTTATATACATACGTACATTCGTATTCATCGATCGATTCTTTTTTTATTTTATTTTTTTTATTTTATTTTAATTTATTTTACTTCTTTTTTTTCATATTATTTTATTGTTTTTAAAAAATATTAAATAATTGATATCGAATTGAATTTCTAACTATTTGAATTTTCATCTTATTGCTTCATTTATTCTTCATTCATAGAATCAATTAGTTGATTATAATAATCAATTCCAATAATATCCCACACGATTTTAAATTCTCTCAAAATCATTTTTACTTTGAAGATGGATTTTTAAGGTTATGCAGACGACTATCAACTTCGTACAATAGGATTCAATCAGGAAATTGAGATGACAATCAAGTACTGACCCAGAAACAATTCATTGGTCAAATGACGGTGTATTTAAGATTTATAAATTTTATTGCTTTTATAAGCAAGTGTTACTTTACTTTACTCGTGCAACTAGTCCATTATTCGAAATATAGTACCAACCGAAATACTTATTTGATCGCTAGATTTAAATGTATTGCATTTTCCAGATGAAATCATTCAGACAATTCTACTTTCATAATTTCCATAAATGATACGCGGATGACCAGATTTGGGTTTGTCATTAAAATTTCCAGTTGTTTCCTTCTTTCAATATATTCATAGAACTGATGATTGGCTAATTTTTCCATTTTAGCAATTGTTCTAGTCGAATAACTCTCTTTATAAAGGATGTGTATATGAGGGCGTTTCTATTGTGATATATAAGGCCTAAACTTTACAGTCTTTGTCTCAAAAGAAATAGAAAATGAAAATGATTATCTAATTAACAAAAAACAATTAACAATTACATAAGTTCGACGTTTTAAAAGAATCCATTTATATTTTTGTCAAAGCAGAAATTCTAATTTGATCGTCCCATTAATATAATTCGAGTTAGAAATTGACTCGAGTAACACGGAGTATCAATTTGTAGCCTTGACCAATAAATTATGCATATCACATTATAAGCATAATCTCGAAATTTCGCAAAAAAAAAAAAAAAAAATAATTTTTTAATTAATTACTGCGAAATTGTTTTCGTTAATTAGCGTGGTGCATCTGTATTGCGCAATGTAGAATATGAATTATAAAAAAGCCACGTAAAACATGCATGATTTTGATTTTCGCATTTTTTTCTCACGTTACGAATCACCGTTCAGTACTCGGTCAATAAAAAAATTTATTTACTGTTACTTTTAAAAAATTGAACTTTATCTTCGATACCTTTCATTTACTCTCTCTATTTCTTACTGTTACTTACTAATCCCCTTTTAATAACTCATCTGTGATTCTATTTTAGTAGTAAATTTGTATTTAATGATCACCTGAAATTAATATTTCTATTGATATCGATATGAAAATTTAATGTTGAATCAAGATGCTCATTTTATACAATAATTAAAATAAACCAAATAAAGTTAAGCAAAAACAAAAAAAATCAATTATTTATAAATAACCGCTTGATTTCTACAGAATATCTAAAAAAAAAAAATTTAATTCTCACTTTTCAAAAAAAGGTTTTTTTGTAAGGAATTTTATTATTTCACACGTAAATCATAAAACTTATTTGCTTCACGATTATTTGAAGAAGCAAGTCGTTTAAACAATAATACCTTCACAATAATTGAAACGGTTTTAAAAGTTTAAATTGCAACCTCTTAACTGAAAAAAATTCCTCTCAATCGATACATTATCATGAAGTTATTCAAAGAAAATGCGCTCATTTTTTTTAGCTTTGTTTTTACTCTTTATTTTGCATGCCTGCGATGCCGATGTCGAGGGTCCCTGTGAAGGTACCGTATACAAATTTTCTAACAATCTTGATGGCAGTTTCTTTGCCTTTGCTAATTGGACTAACCATCAACTAAAAATAACAGATGTGACTATTACTGTATCCTTTGCTGATACAGAAAATAAAAGAAAGCCAGACGGAACGCTGATTCTTAACAATAATTTGGCACGAAATATAACGTTATTCAATGATGTAGACAAAGATAGTTATACATTCGTGAAATTCATCGAACTAATTCGATCTGACAGAATTAAATTTGATCACAAGACACTTTATTACAGGAATGATGAACCTTCCCGAAAAAACTTTGATAAATCAAAGCCATGTGATATAGTTGAAGATAAAGTTCAAGACATGGTAACTGCTGGGAATATATGTAATTGGGAGAGCAATCTACTTGAGCAATATGAACTTCCCGGCGATTATGTAGTGTTTGCGCAAGTGTTCTATGCTCCGAAAGAGTGTAATGCATTTAGTTGCCACATGAACATGAAAAATAAGTATCATTGTGGTATATCATATCCCGTGTCTATTGATAATTATTAAAATACATAATAATGATTGAATTTAATGCTGTATGTTAATTCGTAAAATTTTGATACGTTTTATTAACTACAGATAAATAAATTTTAATGATTAGAAATTTAGATTACATTATCGAAGTGGATAATATTATTTAATCTATTTGACCATGGCCAGAACTACTCTTTAATCAATTCATATTTTAATATTTTTTTTTACTTGATATTTTATTTAGAAATATTTATATAATACGATACGATATTTGTATTATAGCTTCTAATAAAAATCTTTTGTGACAATAATTTGAAATAAAAGAAATTTAACTTTTTGTAAAATCAAATATGAAAATTTATTCTTCGTGATTTATTAACCTTTTTTGTTCATGCGGCTGTTTAATATTCAGCAAACGTTAAAGTGAATAAATCAAGTATTTCGAATATTTGCGTTTGAATTAAAAACTGGAAATAATATCGTCCTATATAGGCAAGTCCAGTTTTGACTTAAAAAATTCTGAGAACGTTTTAAAAAAATTTCTAGCATAGATTCAGTAGATAATCTGTATGTTAAATGAAAAATATATTGTCTACCATATATAAATATAATATTGTTCCTAAATCTATGTCAATATACGGAATATTTGCTATTAAAATCGAGTTACAAATATAGTAGATAATATATTAATATCAAACTGTCTATATATTTACTTTTTATTTTTCTGTTATGGAGAAAAAGTAATAAATGGTTTTCGCAAATAGAGCGTGCATCTAGCTAATAAATAATAGGATTATGATTGAAGCAATGTCATTTGCTAAAGACATCAAAATTATCAAGTAGTTTTCTTATAATACACAAACAGAAATAATAAATATAATACATAATGTAAAGATTCGAAAAAAATTTTTTATTCTATAAATGGCATTTAAATTAAAATTAACTTAAAGGATCATTTTTTTCCACTTTGACACACAAATTTCTTTTTGTTTTTTAAAAAAAAAATAATACTTGAAAGTCATTATGAAATATTTTAAAAAAATGATAAAAAAGTTATCAACTAGGTAATGAAAATCGGTAGAGCATCTGAAATGTCTTTGCAGAAACCCAGTATTTTGTCACTAATCAGATTACGTAACTAAATGTAATTTCGAACAATTAGGACAACTCTATACGTCTTAGAATCATAGTAAATTTTAATAATACTAGTAAGTACCCGTTATCTATGTTAACAGCTAATTATTCAAGGAGTTGATGCATTATGCATTGTAATAATGATAATAAATAATTAATTTAACATAATAATAAAATGAACTTTTTTTACAATAATTTAGTTAATATCAATGCTTTAAATATGAATTTACTACCATTATATTCCCCTTATTAAGAGAATTCCAACAGATCCAAGATTATTAAAATCTGAATACTGGTTAGTTTAAAATCTAAGGCATTTAGGATAACAAATTAAAAATAAAAAAATATATAATAATTTTAAATGGTTTCATTACAGAAATATAATTTTTGTAAAACACATGACATTACACATATCCAAAAATAAAAACTTATGTAACTAATTTGAGAGTCTAACTTGAATTACTGGGAATAAAATATCCTTTTTGGATTTATGTGATATTACATAATTGATGATTAATTTATATAGGGTATTCTAAATGTGATATCATATGATAACAATAATTTTAATAATATAAAAAATAGATATCTAATAAATAGCAATTAATTTAGTAAAATAGTAAACTAAATAAATTTAATAAATTTATAAAAAAATTAATGATTATTTAACTACAAATTTAATAAATTATATTTTAGAAATTTAAAACAATAAATTATTTTTGAAGAAAAAGAAAATTAACGAAACATACATTTTTGTTAATAAAAAAAATAATATTGACTAATATAAAAAAGGTAAATGAATTGACTTAAAAGAAAATTAATATTCATATTGTCACTGATTATTGCATTAAATATATAAAAAAGGAAAGAATTTTAAAATATTTTGATGCTATTTTTAAAAAAATATTATTACTGTATAATACATCAGGAAATTTTTTTAGAAAATAATTATTGATATTTATCTCCTTATCACTATTTATCACATCTTATTACACAAAATATATCAAATCAAAAAATAACAAAAATTACCTATAATATATTAAACATTATTGATAAATATCAAAAATTATCATCAAGTTAATTACTAATAATTAATGATATTGATTATTTTTGAAAATATTAAATTTTTTTTTATAAATCAAATGATTACATAATAATTAACTATATGATGTTTCATATCAATTATTACAAAATATTATTTTTTTTTCAATTTTTCGCTCTTATTTTTTATCTTAAAACTTAATCAGATATTAATTACATTATATTAGTAAAGACATAGTTGCAACTGCAGTTTAATTAGTTAAAAAAGTATATAGTTATATAATTAATTCAAAAAACTTTTTTTTTATAGATAGTATTTAAAAAGTCTTTCAAAAATATTTTTTTTTATCAACAAAATATTTTATTAATTTTATTTCTTTTGTAAATTCAAAAATACAAAAATGTTATAATTATTAAATTTAACGAAATATAATTAATATTTTATTTTTTGTTTATAAAAGTTTTCTGCTAGTTAACTTTATACAATTTTTTTTGTTTGTATTTCAGTAGTTAAAAAATATATTTATTAATAATAATATTTATTTTATTGACAATACAAAAAAATTATATTTACCAAAATTTTATCTGTCACAGCAAGGCTTAAATAGCTTAAAATATATTTGATCATATATTTTTAAATTTCAAAAAATTTAAAAGAAACATTAAAAAAGTAAAAGTTCACATTTACTTCAGAACAGCATTTTTAATAGTTATTTTTAATAAAATGTTTATTTTATTTTTTCTCTTTTGTAATATTAGGATTTTATCTTTAGATGGTTTCTTGATTAATTTTTTTAAAAGTAATATTTTCTTTTTTTTTAATTGTACTTTTAATAAAATGCTAATTAATATTTTATTTGATATCTTTTATAGGTTTTTTAAAAACTCTTTGAACGAAAGGTAAACATTTAAATAAATTTTATTGTTAACATTTTATTTTTTTATAAAGTCAGAATGATAACTAATATTAATTAACAGTATTATTTTAAATATATATGAATCAATTTTGTTATCACAGTTTCTTTGTATAATATTTCAATACGAGCAGTCACAGGTAATAGAAATGAATTATTTTTATTATCTCTAGTAAGGTATCTGAGATGGTAAGAGTTTTTTCATTATAATAACTTAATAAATTCTCTACTATAGAGAATGAATCAGGTTTAAAATTTCTTTTTTTTAAAGTTGATGTTCATTTTTATCTTTTTTTTAGTAAAACATTTATCAATGTTTCTTTCTGTAAATTTGAGAGAATAAAAAGTAAGTTTTATAACAACCTACTATGTAACTTAATTTTAATAAAACATTTATTAATATTTATTTTCTTTTTTTCTATAAATTTCAGTCCTATTAGAATGTTAATAAACTTTTCTTAATGAAACTTTTATTAATGTTTCTTTATAGATACAGGATTTGCAAAGGACTAAAAAGTGTAAGCTTCATAATGTTACAAAACTTTAAATTTATTTTTTTTTTATAAAATATTTATTAATATTTTATTTATTTTATTTATAGATTTTGTATATTTCAAAAGTAAGTCTTTCTAAATTTTATTTTTTGAAGTTTTTAATGAAAAGTTATTAATATTTCTTTTATTTTATTTATAGGATTTAAATATAATTTATATAGGATTTCAAAGAAATCTCATTAGACAACTTTATTTTTTATTTTATATTTTTTTTACTTCACATTTAAGGCGAAGTTTAGATAGATTTTAGTGTTAGATTTTAGTATAATTTATTAATTAATTTTAATAAGTTGTTAATAATAAATAATTTAATACTATTTAACTATCAGATAATTTAAAGTTATCTAACAATAAAGTAATTTAACAATATTATTTAACAGTATTAAATATTTTATATTATTTAATCACAATTTATCTATATTGATATTACTTAATGAGTTTGATTATTATTAATATGCATAATATAGATCTTCATCAAGGTTTATCCTTCAGAAAAATTTCCTAATATTTTACTATATTTCATCATACTAATATAGTATTTTGTTATATTATTTCTGTATTTTATTATATTATTATAATATTTTAATATACTATTTTTGTATACTATTATATTATAATGTTTTAATAAAACAGAAGTTCTTTATATATTAAAAAAAATTATTTTTTACAAAAAAAAATTATATATTTTTAGTCTAGCCTTAAAAAATTAAAATTTGTTTATATAATATAATTAAATATTATAAAAAAAAGAAATAGCTAATCAACACCTTTTTTACTAAAAAAAAAATATATATATATAAATATATTTATTCCTAACTTTTTAAGAAATAGATAAAGCACAATTGATTACTAATTTTATTAAATTAAAAGCAAAACAATTAGTAATTTGAAATAATATAAAAAAAATTTGCAATTTAACTTCTTCAATCAAAATTTGAATTTAACCTAAAAATTATTTAAAGGATAAAAAAAATAATAAATAATAATAATAAGATAAATCTAATTGTAACATTATGTTATATATCTTATTTATAATACACACAATTTTATCCAATCAAATTTTAAGATCAGATGTAATATTAGTTATATAATAAAATAAGAATTTTTTTAAAAAATTTCAAGAAACTGTTTATAACTAAAAATTTATCTATAAAACTATCTTTAATATATTAAGTAAAAGTTTTCTAAATTAAATTTTACATTTAAAAATCTTATTTATAAAATATTTAATAAAATAATTTATTATTAAAAAAATAAAAAAGGGTCTTACAAATAAGACATGTAATAAAATATACAAATATATTTTTACATAATAATAAATAAAGAGAATTAGTAATTCTAATTAATGCAAAATAAAAGGATTAAATAGTTATTCATTTACATTGCTATTATG